AGCACGATGCAGCCAGTTGCTTCTCCGCTGCCACCTGAATCAGGCAAAGGTCGCCTTTGTCCTCAGGATCATTTTCGTGTTGACTTTTGATCTGTGGTGGAGGTGCAAATGAGCTCACCTGCCGTTTCTCTGGGACCCGCTCTACGTTGGTGGACCAAATCCCAATCTGACTATGTCCCTCCTAAAGGGGATGGGGGGAGTTGGACTGTTCAGCTGGGGAGCAGCTGCTATCAATGTTACTGAAGACGAGTTGTGCTGTAATACGTCGCCAAAAATGCTCTTGGCAGAGAGATCTGGCTACATGTGAGAGAAATATGACAATTTAATTTCTATGCTATTGTGCACTTTTTTTCTTTACATCAAAACACTGTGACCAGAGGTTAAATCAAGTAGCATTGATTTGTATATGTATATATAAACATATGTGTGTGTGTGTGTATATATATATATATATATGTGTGTGTGTGTGTGTGTGTGTGTATATATATATATATATATAAATATATATATAATGTGTGAATGTATGAATAAAATAGACTGTCAAAATTATATTCCTTTTGGACAGAACCACACCTCCATCTCACTTATGAACCTGTAATTTGACTGAAGTCTTTTGACGCCATCTGCTTTGGTCATCTGACATTAAAAATGTATTAGCAAAAGGTACTTTTGAATATGCATAATTACCTTGTCATATCACTGCTTAAAAATCTTAACTAGAATTACTCAACCCTCTTCATCTGACCGTTCCGTGGGTCTGGATCAAATGGATTTCAAAAATCAGTTCCACACTTAATCCACATTCACATTTATGTATAACTGGTCATTATTTATTTTTATACAGCTACCTCTAATAAAAACGCTACCAGAATATTTGGATTATTTCCTCCTCCAAGCCAGCCAGTGATTCCATACCCTTGTTTCAAACCCTTTCCTTCTTGCAGTTCTTGTTGGATGGCACAGCACCACCAAACTTACAGCTCAGAGTATCTCTCCTGCACAACCAACCCATTACATAAATATGTTGTTCAGATCACATTCTCATATTGTGGACGGCCATCCCCAGAAAATGAATGAATTTCATGTCACTGAAGTGTGTGCTAAATTTGGCTTCAAAAACACGTTACAAATTTTCACTAAAATGTGACGGTTGGTTTTGCAGAGTTAAACTGATTCCCCATTTCTCCTAACCTTGCTGCAAAGTTAAACCGTCAAGCTTGGGTCACAGTAACCGGCGATGCGAGTGCTTGCTGCTCTCAAAAAGGTCACATGCAGCTACGCACATCCAAGGCGTTAATATCAAACCTGATGCTCTCGGTTGGCATGGCGTTTGGGACATTCATGTTGTCGAGGGCTACGGAGTTTCCCATTCGGGGCGTCTACACAGGACTCCTCGTTCAGATAACCATGGGACCAAACATACCAAACATGTTTGGTAAACATGGGAGTTTACCAAAATAAAGGATGCTGTTTACATTGACTTGTCAAGGATATTGCCATGTAAGCTATATAAGAGACTACCAATGGCAGGAACATGTGCCGTCATACATGTAACCTAGTAAGACATCATGCTGATTAAATTAAATTCAAACAGACATAATCCTCCTGACACATAGCCAAAATAATTCAACTACCATCATAATCACATCATAATTACACTACTTAAGTGTCACCACAACTGAATATCCGGCAACTTCAAGGAAGAAACCAGCAAACAAGGCTATTTTTAATTACACCAACTAATAATAAAACACTAAAGGCATGTGGCTCCCGCACTGACTCCTTAAGAGCTGGTTTGCTATTTTCGATCACATTATCTGTATGTACATTATCTGTATGTACATTATCTGTATGTACATTATCTGTATGTACATTATCTGTATGTACATTATCTTTATGCATTCCACATCAGTGTGCTCATTAGTGTTCACCCTTCGCTTTGCAGGCCACGGAACTGAGACACTATTTAGCAACCAGTTAAAGGTGAACTTCATCCATAACTCCACGCAATTGATCCATAAAGTGAACAGGGTCATCTCAGTACTCAAGAAGACCCACTGGTCATCCTGACCCACGTTCTGCCTAGCATGCTCTGGATGTTAATATTGGCACTCAAACCACATATAAAACTGGTCATTTCACTGGTACTGGTTTTCCTTAAATTATTTTTATTGACTTGAAAATCAAACATCCACAGATTTTTTTTTCCCATTTGACATTTTTTTCATTTCAATTTTAAGAAGTCTTCAGTAGTTACAGATTAAAGAAATGATCTGAAATTATATCTGTGACATGACTAAGTGAGAAGACAACCTTAATTGTTATATTTGATGTGAAATTCAGCTTATTATGATAGTGCTAGATATTTACTGGAACAATATTGGGGTTAAGAGTATCTGACTCCCGCACTCTTGTCTAATTATGTCTCTCTGTGCTTCTATGAAACACAATTTAGCATCAGGATTTGAACAGTTTGCAGAAGAGTGAGAAATTTTCCCCTGGTGCCACATATGCGCAGTCCAATGCAAGAGTGTCTTTCACTCATTAGCCGAAAACGACATTTGTGTATTGCTGAATTCCCTATTGTGCAAGAACCATCTACATTTAAAAGTATCACTTTGGCCAGTTGCAATAATTATCTGTTACTTCACCATTTCAAAGTGGGAATTAACTGTGAGACAACGTGAGGTGTGAGTGCTGGGACTGAGATACGCCATCTCTCTTTGCCCTGGGAACAAACTGTGGGAATACTGCTGAAGAACAGACAAACCCCTCTCTGCCTCAAGCCTGGAATTCCTCTCACCGCACCCCCACTCCCAGCCTAGTCGAAACCTGTAATATTGAGGCATGCTCAGATCAGCAGGTCTGAAAGTGTGCCCGGGTATTAAAAAAAAAAAAAGCTTGCGATGTCATTGCCACGGCAACCCCTCCCTAGCACGGACGTCCCCCTCTTTCATGCGCACACACACTTCAACCCCTCCCAACACCCACGCAGACCCACACATGGAGACGAGAAGCGAACAAAGGGGATTTCTCCATCTCCTCCTGAACTATGATTAGATCTTCATCCCGGAGACACAATAATCACGCATTCGAGCTGAATCACCACAGAGGCAGCTGAACTCCAACATCGGAATCTAAGTCACTACATGGAAATAAGTACTGTTTGTGTCCACCAGGTTTGATTAATCTGGCAATAAAATTAGGTTCATGCAGCAGCAGAATACAAGTTCAAAGCTATCTGCATAACAGGCAACCGACAGTTAACAATCTGATCTTTGTGCACGGTTTGTACCCTTGTTACAGGGAGACCCATAATTAAACATCTCCAATGTTATCTAATCGGAAATAGCACGGATGGTCTGTCCTCTGTCACCTACCCATACGTGACCTTAATGTAAAAGACCTTCCTCTGACTTCTGCTGGAACTAGGTAAGGACATATTGTAGGCGGGTGGGGTACACTGACGATCGTCGATTCATACAACTGCAATGCATGATGCCTTCTGTACCATGCTCAGATCTCTAGAGGAAATCAATCAAAGAATACTGAAATCCAATAAATGGTATAAATTATCTTAAAAGCTTGGCTGAACCATTTATTTGTTTTATTTTATTAAAAAATGTATTACACCTGAGCAGCGTTGATTTTATTAATATATTATTAACATCATCCTTTTTAAATAACTACCAGCAATATCAGAACCTAACATGGTATATTTAGCACGACGGCAATTTTATAGGACCCTGACGAGGGTGAGCGGTTAAAAGATAGGTGGATGGAAACTTAAATTTTACAACCTTCTCCTCATACTCAGGTTAAACTTTTTAATCAGCTGCCTACAGGCTCTTAGTTTTTCCTCCTTGCGTCTCCAGCCCGGGAGACTGAGCTCTGACCGCCACACTTGGGCTATTTGTAGAAACGCCAATGACGTGATTTCTACAAAGCAGAAACCATCCTACACAACTCGCCGGTGCCGGCTGACGCGTAAAAAGCGATGTAACACGCTTCCTGAGAATAAAAAATCGTTCAGGCAGCCTCATCTGGACTGACACAGGTACAGGAGAACCGATGTGCACTGGATGACTGAGACATCATAGACGATTTATATAAAATACTACACCTCTAAATGATATGACGTGGTACAGTCTGCCGGCACTGTGGGTCTTTCAACGAAAAGTATGATTTCAGTGCACGGTCAAAATGAAGGATATAATAGGCGCTGACGTCTAAACGCTAATTCACTGTAAAAAAAAAATCATTACCGATCCTTCAGCGTCATAAACCAAGTCCACGAGGAACATGTTATAACGCACAGAAACCGGTAACAAGCTGCTGGGTACACGCTTCTTTCATTCATCTCTGCACTCTTTCATTCATTCTTCCCTCCACATTCCCCGGGTTCGCAAGCACTGTAATTCTAGACCCCGTAAACGTGAACCCCTTTCAAAGCAGACCAGATTCCTGAATAATAATAAAATAATAATAATAATAATAATAATAATAATAATAATATAATGCATTCGTAATGTATTATTATTTATATGCGACTGATATTAATTTCCATATATATAGGTCTATATTATTCATACAAGTGAAACATAAACATGCACGGTAGCGCTTAAATTGAAATAAAGTCGCTCGTTTTGATCAAGTGTAGACAGCAGTGATGAAGGATGCATATGCATGGTGCTCAAAATCTCAAGTCGCGGTGCTCAAGCAGAAACTGGTGGTACAGACCGCAAAACTACACTGAAACGCCTGGCGAGGCGACTGACAGCGAGGCAGCCGGCGTGCACGATGCCATATAACGATGAAATAAAAGTGACATTATTTGCAAAGCGGAACTTAAGTGAATTTGAGTAAGTATACTGTAAGTTGTCTCGCTCGGTACTTTTCGCCGTTGTTATTAACGGCTCCGGAGCACTTGCCAATATACCATTTAAAAGCCACTGGGAGCTGAAAATATGTGTGAGCGATACGGCGGACCGGGACTTAACTATTTGCACAAATGCTGGAGACACAAGTCGAGACATTCCCCTTCCACTTCGTCCTCGGAGATGAGGTCCGTCAACGGGCGCAGGGGCAGAGGCTCATCGTCCTGGAGCGGTGTCCTCATCTCTCGGAGGAAGAGCTCCAGGAACCTTCGGAAGGTTTTCTCCTCGTTGGCGGAGCCGGCCATCACTTCTCATTCCTGGAGAGACGAGAGACAGCACTGGCCGGGGAAGGAGACTACTTCGGAGCGCTTTGCTGGATAGCTCCCCACTCGCTGGGAGGGAGGGGGTGAGAGGAGGGGGAGGTGGGAGGGGGCGGGGGCGCGCGAGCGCGCGTGACCAGCAACTCGCGCAATTACAGGAGGAGGCGGCCTGACGGACGAGCGTGACGTTAGAGGAGCGAGCGAGACGCCGCCGCGAGGCAGCCGTATCTTCGTCAGGGTCGGGGGCGCGCACGCCTGACAGGTATGTGTTCGCAATTGGCCGAGCCTTACACCTGTTCTGCGTGCGCGCTCTGTTTGGTGACGAAGGGAACCTTCCTTTTTTCAGCTGCTGACGGACGAAAGGACGCGAAGATGCTAAAAATGACTCATATTGTATATGAAAAAAGCACCGCCCGTTGTACATATTAATCTTATACACAATATTCCAAGTAATTATTAACATTATTGTTATTATTATTAATACATTATAATAATAAGATATTCAGCTTTATAATGTCTAAAGTGTGTGCTTTTAGAACAGAAATATTTAATTTACGAAGGTAATCGGTAAAATATTACTGGTGTAATTTTGTTGTCATTTAAAGTTTCATTATAGTATTGATTGCTGGGCCCGACAAGGTGAAATGGCGATATCTCGCTGTTTAAATGTGTATATAGGACATCAAGCTCTTGTCGCTAAAAATACCGACTGTAGTAGATTCACTCTCAGTGTGGATTAACCACTTTATTGCCTGGCCGTGTGGTTCAAACATTAGATATGCGGCCGCACTGTGGACAGTGTTAGAAAGAAATGTACTAAAATCGAACCAAGTTTTGTTGAATAAAAATAATGGGAAATTTGTCCGTTGTATTTTTTAAAATATAAAGTGACCAGTAATTATCCATAAATATTCAAAGAAATACAATGTTAATGTATTAAATCAATCTATAATATATTTTGTTTTATAATTTAAAGAGCATTTTAAAAGTGAAGGAATTGAGTTCTGCACAATTGCTTCTTTAAATCCACGACTCTTTAGGGAAACCTGGACTTCTAGTATAGGGAATTGCAGCCCTCGCCTGTTTTCTCATGCTGTTTATCGGACTGGAATCGTGGTAGAGAGAGAAAAAGCAGGGCAGGACTTGCCGCATACAAATAGTTGACCGCCGGAGGAAAGAGTTGTACATAATTTACTAGAATTACTTGTCTTTGAACATATATCTTTGTTATGGATGATGGCTCCTCTTTAGTGCAAACGACGTCACAACAAATTAAGCATGTGAACGCACTGCACAACTCAAATTAGTTTCCACTGAATAATGGTATACGGTTTCTTTTAATTAAGGTTTGTATTAATGGAGCCGACAGGTTTTTCAAGGATGTCTCCAGAAAACCGTAAATGCAAAAACCAGGGGAGGGGGCCAGACATATATACGCCTGTTTGCAGTGCCAGTGAAACACTCGCGGTTTAACTGAGTGCCACCTCTGGCAGTCAGTTCATTCGTTTATAAACTTGACGTCATTCATTTATAAACTTGATGGCAAAAGCAATAGCTGAAGAATGCGGGTCTCTGGATGAAATATGGCAGTTTGAGATATTTCATGATTTGTGAGATCCATAAGTAACACATTTCTGTCACCTGGAAAGAGACTTTCACAAAGGGGCTCGCTTCCTCATAATTGCCAAAATGAACCAATAATCTTTTCTAATTCAAGATATTCAAGTAAGCATGCAGGGCAAAGGTCAAAGTTGAAATGTCTGTATTTGTAAATATTGCTGCTACATGCCCTCATAACTACCATTCAGCCATCAGCCTTACGTTTATGAAATCAAGACCATGAAAACACAAATCTATGCTGTTGTTAGTGACAGCTCATAGTGACGCCTGGTAATTTGTGAAAAGGCGCATGGGCAGTCATCCTTGCGGAGAATGCTGGCTGAGGTTGCAGCCTCCCAGTTCCGGGCCAAGTTTACCATGCAGCTACACAGGCTTCAGGATGTGGGTTTTGCACATGGTGTCGTTATCACCAGAATCCACTCTGAGGCTGAGAAGATCCGTCTGCCAGCTGCTTTCCAGTGCAGGATGGACCTGGGACATTTCCACAGAGGGCGTACCCTAGATGACATGCTAATCCATCACAGCGTACACACAATCACACAATAAGGTAAGTTAAAAGTCACCGATTTACCTCAACAACATTTTTGGATTATGAGACGAAACCCTGTGAAATACATGAAGAACATGAAACCTGCAACCCTGAAAATGTGAGATTGCTAAGCCTGGAGTCACGTCTGCTGCCTTCTGAGGTCTGCCCACTAAATAGTGACACATTTTCCAATACCCGTCGCTACACAAACAAGCTAGTCTTCAGAGATGAAGGGTATTGATAAGGAAGTCATCCACTCCATCTCTCAGACCTCCCCGCCATGCCAGAAAATATTAGCCCAAGTGCTCGTATTTCACTTGCTTGCCCACTGCAGCAGCTGAAGCCAGCATTTTTGTGTGGAATTTAATTAGAGAGATGAATCAACAAGGGCTCTTGCACTGGGGACCACAGTGAAGGCTATATGAAATATCCTTGACTCTGCAGCGATTGACTTGCATCTAAATTGTCCCAAGGATGCCCAGGTCACTCTGTCAAGGACTAACACAGCTTGTGAACCAACTCTGATCCTGGATGGGGAAGTCATTTTGATATTCCTTCAAGCTTGATGCTTTATCAAGCAGTTGTAACAGCAATAAAGTAATTGAGTCCATGTTTTGTATCCCCGCAATAGTTTGTAGGGTCTTCTAACAGGGTTGGGGCCATTCCTGAATGAATTCATTGATTCCAATCCAAATCATGAAATGGAACTGGAGTTGGATTTTAAATTTCCCTGAAATTCTAATTCAATTCCAGTTCTGTTCCACATAGTTTGTTTTCCAATTCCAACTCCAGTTCCAATTCCTGATTTAGACTGGAATTAATGAATGCATTCCGGAATGGCCCCAACCCTGCCTTTTAATAACCTGGGGATTATTGCTTGTTAGGGTCCAGATGCCTCTTGTTGCTTCCAAAAGAGATTTTAATGATCTACCACTGTCAAAGCACAGAGACAATAGTATTACGCAGAAAACTCAAAGTCATTCTTTAAGTACTTGGTGAACGTTTTGTACAGAGCACTGCCCCCTGTCAAAATGGCCAGCTGCCTTCCAATCAATATAGAACAAGTCCATCATGAGAGCTTCGAACCTTCACGGTCAACCCCATCTTTGTTTCGTCAAGTAAAAATGAAGATTAAAGCAGCATACTGCAGCTGTGTGTGATATTGCCTTCATGTAAACAATGCAGTACATCACATCCAGACCCCTTCTTATTGTCAGAGTGTCATCAGAATCATCAAACAGTTTTAGAACAGCTGAATGTTGTTTTTGAGCCAGATGTCTTCAAGTCTGGTGGTCGTCTGCTTCGGTGCGGAGGCGCTTAGGAGCGTTTCCTGATGGAATCACAGATGAGTCAGCCGAAACGTGGTCAGAAGAGAGCACATCTCTGAAGCCAGCGCCCTGAGAAAGAGAGGGCCGTCGTTCAGCACCAGAAACTCAGTGAAGCCCCGTCGTGGCACCCGGGCGGCACAGGAAAGCCCCGTTTGCGTTTACCCCCACTTCGCGGCCAAAGAGGAGAAAAGCCAGGCCTTATAGTGATGCGGAGGACTTTAATCTCCAGACACCACATCGAGACGACACGCCTAGTTATTCTAGGCTCCCAAAACCCAGCAAACTATTTACTCTGTTCTCAATTAACTTAATTTGTCCGATTTCACCAGCTCCAAAGGGCAAATTGTCTTTGCCAAAGGAACAAGGGTAGGGGGAAAAAATATTTTCAAAATGCTTCAAATGCAATAAGCAATTGCAACCCAGTTGATACAATAGTTATGACAGCTAATGCTTAGCAAAAAAGACAAGTCTCCACAGTTCTGTTTTACTGCAGGCCGCTTTGTCGGCCAAATCCTCTTTACCAGCAAGAGCAAATAAGGTAAAATGAGAGTGTGTAAGCCTGTCCCTAGTCCCGTCTCGCCATGGCTGCTAATGTACAGCTTGCAGCCACGCCACTCCCGCCCTGACACTGAAACTCCCTCTGCTGTGTGACCAGGCGGTTTTTCCCCATAGTACCTTTGCCATTACGCTACAGTCTCGGCTCATTTGTCTAGACGTGGGGGGGGGAAAAAAGCCTCGTCACGAACATGTTAATTACAGAGGCAAAAAAATAAATAGATAAAACTGCTCCCGCTGCAGTGTGTAGTAGCACAGTTACATAACCGCCAGGTGCCAGCTAACGTTACCCATAATTCCAACGTCGCCCAGGGATGTCTTACGCAATAGGCCAACTTACGTGAATCCTATGTAATAAACATGGATAAGGGAGTGAGGAAAATACTTAAGTGGTCAACATTATACGGAAAGGCTTTCTTTTTCATAGATCGGACTGATAAATTTGATACATAAAGCATTTTTGAATAAACAGCCCTGGTGTAAAATGAAAATGAAAGGCGTCTGTGAGATTTGGACAGCTGCTTGCTCATCAGATTAGGCTTACGCTCTGGCAATCCGCTGAGCGGCGGGACAGGGAGGTATGCATACTCACAGTGATCTGGTACAGAACCGTAGCCTCCCTCTGGCTTGGAGACTTATACAGAGACGCCAGTCTGCGGAGAGAACGGCAGATCTTCACGAAAGCTGTGGAAACCTCGGTTAAACTGGCCACAACTGATGATCTGGCTGTAATTCACACTTACACTGTATGACCAAAGGCATGAGGATGCCCCTATTATTTAATTGTCTAATTAGGCTACACCCATTGCTGGCACTGGTGCATAACTAAGCACATAGTTACGCAATGTTTACGCAGCAAACATCTGCAGTGGAATTGATGGTTGTACAGAACCACAGCATAGCACGCCATCTTTCTAAGAAATGAGTTTGCCCTGGTCAACAGCAGCTGAAATGTGATGGTCATAATGTCCAGAAGCAAGTTCAGCTGTGAGGTGAGGGGCCACACAAGCTCACAGACAGGAACCTGATCACCCAACATTAATACCCAACCTGAATGGCAGCAAATCCCACCAGCAATGTTCTAGCATGTAATGGAAAGCCTTCCCAGAAGAGTTACAGCAACAATGGGGCAACAGAGTTCATATTTAATATCATTGAATTTGGAATTAAATGTCAGACAAGCTTGAGTCTGCATGCTTTTGGCCATATAGTGTATGTCAGGGGTGACCAACCTTATCCGCAAAGGGCCGGTGTGTTCCCAAAAACCTGCAGGTCAGCTGTTCAAACCCAGGTGTGAGGACTCTTCAGCCAATCAGTCCTCTAATTAGTAATGTAATTATGGAGTTGCGGCAAAAACCCGCAAACACAGCAGCCCTGTCCGGATAAGACTGGCCAGCCATGGTATATGTGGATGTCCAGCTTAACTGCCACAATTAACCTTACAGAAACGTATCACAGGACAGCTTCTGTCTGGACGACCTTGAGCTTCAGAGAAACTTTCTTCAGCTTGTTTTTCTGCCGCCAATGAGCGGTCAGGCGAAAGTTATTATAAATAAGGACCAGCCACCAAATGCAGGCCAGCTCTCTGTGCTGCATGAGTCATTCTCGCAGCAACGCAGAACAAAATGTTTAGGCAGCACATTCTGGAATAAACAGGCGCGGCATAACGAGTGCTTCTCCAGGTGCTCCCTCCCAGCGGCGATTCGTTTTGCTTTTTATTTAGTTGGTACACTCCTCCCAGGACCCAGCCCAGAAGCTTCCATTTGCCTAATGCACAGACTCGGTGCTCCCGGTTCGGGGGCTACGTAGAGTGCGTGACCCCTGCACAAAGTCGCTTGGATAATGGAACATCTCACCTCGCTGTTCCCCATCAGGGACTTAGCCAAGAGCAACACTCTTAGCTGCATGTGAATAAACAAGCATGTGTGTCCTGCGCATGTGTCCTTTGCAAAATGATGGACACAAACAAAATCAAATATTTATTTATGCGAAATAGAAATCATTTTTGTAAAACTACACATTAATGGGCAGTACTGTCACCTCCATACCTGTAAGTTTTGGGGATCAAAGTCTGTCCCGAGATCTGTCTGAATGGACTGTGAGTTGAAAGCTTTGGACATTCCATAAACATGCAGTTGGATAAACTAGCATCTCTTAATTCATACAGTATGCACCTTTTGGCGCTTTTCCACTGCCACCAAGAACCGAACCTTACCGCAAAATAGTGGTTTTCCATTTCAGTTACCTGAGCCATAACTATAGTTACTCGACTAAGGCTGCCACTAACAACTATTTTTCTATGGATTAATCAATAGATTATTTTACCGATTGGTCGATTAATCTAAGCGATTAATTTTACTCCAGAAAATCAAACTGACAGTTTCTGCACGTCATTGCAGTGCTTTAGATAATGGACGGCGGCTTTTCGATGCTATACGGACATTATTTTCGCCCACAATTCAATAAGTGGATTAGTAGTATGTCTAAAACATTAAGTGCGTGTTGTGATGCACAAATCCGGCGTACCTTTTTGTTTATTAAACTCATGCATGACGCTAGTGCCGCTGAGGTATGCCACTGAACTTTGCACTGTGTAAAAAACGCCGTTACCAAGCGGACTCTTCTACAGTGGTTAACCGAAGCGAGCTGGTAACTGGTTTCTCTTCACAGTGCGGATCGAGTGCGACTCGGTTCCATATGCCGGTGGAAAAGCACCATTTGTGTGTCTTATCTGCTTCCTGGTTTCGCTCCAGGTTTACCTCGACCCAGGACTAGATAATGGTCAAGGACACTGGACAGATGATCCTCACATTCATCTTTCAGCTGCTTATCCTGGTTGATGGTCAAGGGGGGGGGGCGTAGAGCCTAGAGCACAGGCCAAAATTGGTGGTGCAACAAGACGCCAGTCCATCACAGAGCTTGTATCAATGTTGCATATTAATATTTATGCAACAGAATCCTCTAATTTCTTTGGCAGCGGTAAAGCTTGTTCTGAGGGCTGCGGATCAGAATTACCTCTGTTCCCCCTCCCAGTGCAAAACAAGCCTCTGAGTCGCAGCATGGCCCCAGCTTTCACCTGTACAGGAGGGTCAGAGGAGACTCAGTCAGATACCATCCACAAGTCATATATTATATCATCTGACAGCTAGTAACTCTTCATTGAGCTCTCGTGGCTTTCTGATTCATATTATTCCCTCATTAAACCTTTCGGTACAGCCACAAATTGTTCCTGTCACCTTGCGTATTAATAGATCCAAGAGGCAAATATGGTGTTATAATCGTGGTACACATCACGACACGATCATAACACTGAAAGGGATTGTGTCTATCTGACACCCCCCCATTGAAGCCTCTACAGCTGTAATCTAAGGGCACTTTGATGTAAATTCCAGAACTTCTTACAAGGCCAGCAGAAAGACTCACCCCAGAGAAGCTTAAATGTAGAGGTCACCTTATTTAATTATAATAAATCTTTAAGCAATGAGTAACTACATCAGTAATCATTAACTAAGTAGTTTTACCATGCAATTCAGGCTCTAACACTGTGTGAATTAAATTTATCTACAGTTTACATCATATCCAGCTTTGGGAGAGTTTGTCTATTGAACCGTCACTGTTGGGATAGTCCAACGTTTTTTTCTGCTGAAATCCTGCAGGTATTTTTAGCAGCAAATGTGCTACTCATATTCAGCAAGGGGACACGGTGAAAACACAGTGTTTATGAATAGGGCCTAAATTAAGTATCTGCTATGCATTAAGCAACCTTCTGAACCTGAACATCCAGGACTCACACGTCCTCTCACCTAAGGCCGGCACCAGCTTGGATTGGCCGCTTCCAACCTTCGTTGTCATCTGATTGGTCAGTACGACCTAGGGACGAAGGGAGAAGACGGCCGTTTATAGTTTCCGAAAGACAGCTGCTCAGGCGCGCATAGCAACCAGGAAGGACACAACACACACTGGGATTTGCTTGTGACAGTTTGTTTAACCACAATTAATGGTGTCGACGTACACAACTGGCCAATAAAAATGTGAATCATACAAACAAGGAATAAACCTGACCTTTGTCCAGAGGTTTACAAAAGTTAGCCCTCTTTCCGTCGAATGACGCTTTGGGAAACAGCCCGCTGCTACTCTGCACGCCCTCTGTCAGAATGCTCACGTATTACGAGGAAAGTAGCCCACGCTCCCCCTTTTCAGTCTGCATTCCGGAAACTTCCCCTCTCAGTTGCAGCTGAAATGCTGTCAAATCCTGACAGGTTTCTGTGCCTGTGGGGAAAATTCCTCCCTTTGGGGGAATGATCATCTCCAGGCATAAAATGGCTACTTAGCTGCCAGCTGAGTTTGTTTTAAGAGAATCGTATAAATAATGTTCGACAGACATTATACCCCAAACCGCCCTGCGCAGCTTTGAAAACAATGCATATACTGCAGCAATTAAAAGATGGCAGTGAATACCATGCTGATCATATCTCAGATATTTCTCCTTTGGCAAGTATCATATACATATATATTCTGAGTGAAGACCCCTCATTTTGGGATGTTTTGCATTTACTTTGGAGCAGATCGGCCAGATGGGGGAATTCCCATTCCGCGACACATTTGCATTGAACTTTACGCAAAGCTACCAATGTTGAAAAGCCTGCCAATATGGAAATACACCCTGATTGGTACTCCCTCATTTCCTGAAGCGGGCCCCCATGCATTTTGAGCACAAAAACACATTTGGTTGATGTCCAAGAGAATTCTGTTTACTCAGGGATTCTGGCATCTTCCTCTAGGGCGGCGCTAACAGTTACGAAGTCAAATAAGGGGACTTCCCTGACTGAGCATGACATACTGAACCTCTGAAACAGGACCTCAGCAGGATTCCCCTGGATTCACCCATTTGTGACGAAGAATGCCTGCAGTTTTTCTTGCAGCAGGTCGTTAAATAACACCAGTGGGGGAAAAAAAACAAAGCAAATTTGCTCCAGGTCTTCCTGAAATCTTTCACTGACGAAACACTGCACTGGCACTCTGGAGGGTCGCGGCACGGAATTTTCAGTTCATTTTGAAAATGAGCCCCTGGTTAGAACGGTGCAGACACCAAGCGAAAAACAAATGGCGAGGGAGAAAGGTCACAAGACTGCAGAAATAGCAGCCAGAGGACGGACCGCAACATTGTACTGGTTAGCCATCTGGGCGAGCTGTTGGGCAAGGCCGTTTAATAGCCGCGTTCTTTGGGAGAGGTCCTCAAAGTCATGGCGGAATGGGAAAGCAATGCTGTCAATCACCACCAAACGGACCTATCGAAACACAGCAGAGGAACAGCAGCCAATCAGCAAAAAGAACAAAAAGAAAATTAATTCTTATTGCATATGATCATTAGAATTAAAACAAAAATATTAAAACAACAGATCAATTTATGGCCAAGAAGGAGTCATAGCACTAATAAGCTAAAAGTAAACCATAAATACAACTTCTAAGATATTCTCTTTCCTTTGGACGCAAGCGCTTGCTCTCGTAAGACAGGAATTTATACCTCAGGGTGCTGAGATAAAAAGTCAGGCAGGAGGTAGGTCTCAGCCAACAGCTCCACGTAGTCATGACAACGGAAGAGGTACAGCTTGGAGAGAATGCCTTCCACAGTGAACACCTTCAAGGCCTCTCGCTGCTCTGAAAAGGACGTCTGGTCACCGGGCTTAAAAGATACCCGACTTCACACGAAATGCATTTTACATTCCCTCACTTCCAGGTTAACATTCATCCAGGCCAAATCTTGCTATTTTTCTTCCCATTTCCTCATACGCCCCCCTCCCCCCCCCATCACTTGTCATTTCAGTAACCCCCCCTAGAGCGCCACCAAGCTTAAAGAAAGTGCACTCGTGAATTGCTAGATTCAACATTTCCAATAAATTGTTTGAGAAAAGACCTTTGACAATTTCATATAACCCACACAGGAAAAGAAAACCTATGATCTGGAAGAAGCCTTAAAATTGCATTTTTTAAAAGATGGATCATGTACTTTAAGGTTCAGCTGTTGTTGAATATGAAATTTTTAATTAACCAGTGTATAAGGAGTGATATCAGGTCAGGATTTGAACTTTGCTCAGATTTCAGCTGAAGCATGTAATTAGTTATGTTATTAAAATAATATTTGTGTAATGGTATACCAAGAGATACAATTACCATAAACTCTTAGTGCATCGGACAAAAATGTCACATGTTCTGGGGCAGATTTTGAGAAATGGGTTTAGTACCATATGCAACTAGGTGAGGACGGCTATATAATGTCTAGACAATAGAAACAGCTTCACATATGAAATCCAGAATGGGTGGCACTGGTTTTGGTAGTCCCACATTAGATGGATGGACGGATGGATGAGGTTTTGAGTTTTTGCCCTATGATGAAATGTGAAATTCAGGCTTAAAATCAATAGTGACATTCCAAAACAGGGGCATTTTCCAATAAGTCTAACATGCAGATGCATATCGATGCAGACGCAGTGTTGACCGGCAAACTGACATAATCTTCTTTTGCGAAACCAGCTAAAGTTTCATTTGTGACTGTTCTAAAAAAGTATGCGGTATTTAGGGCAGGCGGGCCTTGCCCCCCGCTGCCTGTAGTACCGGCGTCGCCGGCCAGCAGGGAGCAGTGCTCCACAGCCGCTTTGGCCACATCCTCCACCCGCTGCACCATGAAGCTGCCCTCCGTGTCCACGAACACCGCCTGGCCTCCCAGGCCTCCGAAGCAGGCCGGTATCTGGACGTCCACCGTCAGCTGGATGCTGCCACAGCGCACAGAATACAACGATAAAGAGGCTCACTGTTCTATGACACCTCCGTTGCTGCCGTGCATAATTAGCGAAAGGAGAAACAAGATTATGTTAACCTACCTGTCACTAATCCAACTGCTTTAAGGTCCACCGTAATACTCTTAAAAGAAGAACCTGCCCTTAAATCCCCTAAGAATGTACCTAATAGATCAACTAGTTAGAATAGTTTCTTGCCCCCCCCATCGTAAAAAAACATTACTCCAGTTAGTTCTGTTAATCAGCCAGGAAACTTCAAAGATCAATGATTATTTGGATTATTACATAACTAAAATAAAATCTACAAAGGCCTGTCCTGGATACACCAAAAATAGACGAGAGGGCATCGGAAATAGGCAGTGAAGCTCGGTCCTACCAGAGCTGTGTTTTGCCCACGCCAGGTGCTCCACAGACTTCACTGGTCTTGCCCACGGGCATCCCACCACCAAGGACGGAGTCTAGTGCTGAGCAGAAGGTGACGATGGCACCCATCGCCTGCTCCCTCCCCAGCAGCTCCAGGGCCGTCATCCGGCTGCCTGCACCCGCTCCCTGGCTGGCGTCACACCGCACAGTCTGCAGCACGTCTACCGCCTCCTGCTGGGAGATCCCTGATTCTGCGCAGCATCACAAAGCGAACGCAATGAATGTGCATGACGCCAAACTCCCGTTTGCGGAATAATATACGTAATAATACGTACGTTTAACCTTTTCTTCTGTGTAAATATACCTAAAGATTTACTCTTAAGATGCAAAATTCTGAGGATATCCTCGACAGGTTTAAATAATAATATTAAATAATATTAATAATATTTGTGCGATATGTCTTATGCCATAATCATTCCCATTTCTAGGCTTACGTGCCCGTTATAGAGACACACTACCTTTGCTGAGTTGCAGCGGTCGCAGATCGCACAGATCTGCCGCTGTGTGAAATCCGGCATTGATGAGCTTCACTTTGACAGCTGGGGCGAACGCAAAACTGGACAGAGGTCTCTGCATCTTCAACAGCGACGCACACCAATAAGACCCAATATGTTTAAACACCAGCCAATTCCATAAACACTTCCTGCTGCTATGAAAGCCAAGCTATGTGGTAAAGTGGTTTTAAAAACACCACATTTTTGGATTGAAGCAGAGCAGGATCTCCTAAAAATGCGATTTGCAAATATATATATATAGTGCAACGCGGTCTACTTCGTATAACAAAATGTATCTCGTTGCAAAACTTCAAATTTACATCTTTGGTTTCGTTTCGCCGTGCGTTTTATCTGTTGTAGGAAATACTAAGTGAAAGCAGACGGACAGCGAGCGATCAGCCATTTTAATAATCCCTCCAACTTTTTCCGACAGGAAGAGGCTGTTCCGCCGCGCGCCCGGCCGGCCGGCGGCCCTCTATCGCCCCCCTGTGGCTGAATCACGAGCTGAATCTCAGGAAACCAACCGATCTTTAATTCAATTTGGTATCTTGTTTTAGTGGCCTAATTTTTCAAAATGACTTTGTAGTCACCACAATGTTAACATACGAAAAATAAATAGCCATTACATGCCTTAAAAAGTTATGAAACAATATGAAACGAGCAATAAAATGGTTATTAATTAAAATGGTAATTAATCCATTAAATTAAACTACATATTTTTCCCCAAAACTGTCCCTCAGGGGCAAGGAAGTATGATACCACTGATTTTCTTGACAAGTAATACCAAGGTTAGTGTCCTGATGCAGATATTTGTAAGTGTTTCTGTGAGCTTGAAATGGGAAATCTATAAGATTGGCTAATTGGTACCACAATATATTTTATAGAGCAGCCCAGCGCTTCAAACATCGATGGATGGTTAAGGTACTACAGGAAGCAGTAGGATGTTCTTGTGCAGTAAATGAGTATGCAGTATAAAATGACAAATCAGATTATCTGTATTCTATTTAAAACATTTAGAAAACATTGCTCAATGTCGTAAAACCAGCTTGTTCTTCCAGTTTAGCTATAAATCCACACATAGCCTGAATATTTAAGGCTTCTTGCATTAACACTTGAAATGTCAGTGTCTTCTTTAAACTCTGGTTAGGCTGCCTCCTCTCAATTATTTTCCTCAAAGGTTTTTGTTCAGGAACATGCTGACAGTTTTTCCCTTCAACCTGCTTCATTGCTCACAGACGAGGGTTGTGGTGAGCGGCTTCATGGGTTAGGGGGCCATGTCTGTGCTTGGAAGGTCACAGGGTCAGCAGAATGATTTCGCTGTTGGGACCGTGACCCCATTTGCTCCAGGGATTGCTTGACCCTGCTTTCTAAAGAATGTATGGCACTTTGCATAAAAGCAGCCAATAAATAACTTTCCTGCCTTTGAAAAAAAACTTTCTGTGGGTACAGATGAAGCAAAAATACCCACCTATCTCACTGCAAGTCTGCTTATGTATGGAAATGCATGTTCATGCTCTCAACACTGAAGCGACGGATCGTTGTCCTTGCAGAATGAACTTCTGAGTAATGGTGCATTTCAAGAAGTGCATCGAGGCCTGCAGTGCTGACAGGCAGTGATATGCCTAGAAATTCTAGGCCCCCTGGCAAAACACCACCTTAGGTCCTCTGCCTGGTTACCAATGCTGGCCCCCTGAATCTGCTAGGTAATCGATCCCTCTCCAACACCCAAGTTGACGTGACATGATTATCAAAATCTGCCCATAACCCTCAATTTTCTGTGGCTGTAGAACTAGTGGCATGTGCCTAACTCAGTGGCGTAGAGGGGTTTGATGTCAGTGCTGAGGTACAGCCTCGTCATGAAACACAAGGATTTTACCCTTATGTCCAAAAAAGCGCTGGCAGCTAGACTATGAAAGATTGCAAAACACCACAATCTGACATTGCAGTGCTAGTTGTGAGACAAGCGAACGACTCCGACTGGCACAAGGGGCAGCGCTTTTGACACAGAAACGTGTTTTTCAGACCGACCTCCCTCCCGTGTCACCCCTTCAAAAGAGGGAGCGGAAGGAGAAATAGTTCTTATCCTAAAATTGCCATTTTGGCCCTGGTAGTAGTTCATGTCCAGCTCAATATAACAATATAAACTTTTAAACTACTAGGTAAACAAATTTAAAAGTTTAAATCGATTCTCAAAATGAAGCATTCAGATCTGAAGGATCGGTGTTTCAGTATCGATCCGCGCATCCCCAGCCGAGGAATATCGTTCGATCCAGGCCAAAGGTGTTTTATATAATTAAGAGGTATCTAGATGTACATATAAGTATATAATTACCTATTCGCTAATATAGCTTTACTCAGTTAATTATTATGCTATATGTGGATGACCTGGAATACCTGATCGCTGCTGGACCCAGTAGATTTCTCAAATATGGTCCTCGTTAAACCGAATAACCGCATTTAACTTCGATGTCTGTATCGCTTGAAATGTCAGCTTATATGGAGTATGCGTATTTCTCAGAATATATTTCGGACAGGCAGCTTGCTAGTGATAATTATATAGTCTAGATACAGACATTTTTTGTGGTTATTTACAGAATCTCAATATTACCTTTATCTCGTAAGGCCCGATGACCCATACATCATACATACACGTGTCATGGTGCTATCTAAGAAGTATATTATAGCTTTATCTTTTTATATAAAAGAAGCGGTATGTTTCCACATATTGCAGATTATATATGATAATTATAAAACACGAGGACGGGAGCTTATCTAAGGGTTTTGCCATCAATCTCGCAGAACATATACTTTTTTATTCGGGGCTTTTATTTAAAAGACTGTAGAGTTAAGCCCCTTAAAGGCTTGGATATTTTTTACTCTTGAGTGATTTTCAGATTTCGCGTATAATTGCATCACACCACATTCGTTACGATTGATGGAGAACAGGACCATTTGGACACTTGACTGGTGTGCTGACATTTAGCATCTTTTGGGTGTATGTACCGATCATCCAGGAAAATGGACACTTTCATGTCTTTCCTTCCTGAAATCAGACCGGCGTTCCGCGTGCAGATCCTCATGGCGGCCGCGTGGCCGGTTCCCTGCCCCGTGCGTGGGGGCACTGTCAGAGACGGAGGCATGGCCGCGCGTCTACACCAGCACACGCTGGACAGGAATCTGCGCAAGATGGAGAAGCTGCTCAAGAAAGGTGAACTCACACAGCCAAAGATGGCAGGTTGTGTCGATGTTATGTTTGCATAGTTAGCCATTGACGTACACAGTGACAAGTTTCAAACTGTCATGCTCACGCAGGAAATCTTACGGTAAATCTATATTATTCCGTTATAAGCCTAAAATTAGCGTCATTAGGGGTAGTTTACATACCCAACAGACTATTTACAAGGTAAAGCTCTTACATGCATGTAAATGCACATGCATGTGTGTGCAGACTTGTCTCAAATTGAAAGTCTCCCAGCCAGCTGAACAAGGCTGGCAACCCTGCAGTGGTCATTGAATAAATGCAAGCTTCACAGCCCCCGTGTGAGAGTAGCATGTACAGCCGACTGAGACAAAGTGAAATTGGGCGGTAACGTGCCGATAGGGTGTTGATCAGCACTGCCTACAAGGTTTTCGTTTGACTTTGTGCTTTCTCGCACAGTCCAGAGGCATGTTTTTTAAAGGATTTGGTGCCCTTAGTGTGTGCCCTATGATATATTGGCTTCCTGTCTAGGATGTCCCCACTGCTTCATGGGATGGGCTCCTGGTGACCCTACAGTAGAAGATGGATAGATATAGCTTACTTACAAAAAAATGTTCTGAAGGCAGACCGAAAAATGATTGGTTAAGAGAGATAGCAAATCAGATTGTAGAGGATGTAGGCGCAAGCAACTAGAGGAGGAGAGACCAAGACATCTGATTGGTTGTTCCCGCTTCCTCTAGCTGTGTGGACCCACCTCCTCTACAGTCTGCATGCATCCATTTCTATACATGAATATTGTAATATTCCATAGTGCTTTACAGCAGGTGAAGAGCTTATTAGTGATGTACTCTCTGTTATTAGTGATGTTGCTCTCTGTATTAGGGGTGAACGTCGACTGTGTCAATCACCTTGGCCAGACGGCCCTGTTCTGTGCGTCTCTCCTGGGTCTGACCGGAGCTACGGAGCTGCTCCTGCAGTACGGCGCCGACCCAAACCAGTACGGGCCCCCCTGAGCGCGCAGACACTCGCTGCGCAGACACTCGCTGCGCTTTGGCTTTTAGTGCCCCTTTGTTTCCCTCCATCGCCAAATGCTATTATTTACACCTGTATTCCTGCCGCTTACATTCGCGAGTCTGTGAGATGTGCTGCCCGCCCCCCGCAGCCGCTGCGCAGACATGAGCACCCCCGTGCATGCAGCTGTGTTCTCCTGCAATCCCTGGCTACTGGCAGGGCTGCTGGATGCTGGAGGGGACCTGAGACTTCACGACGACGAGGGACGGCTCCCCCAGGATTGGGCGGAGGCCGGCGCACAGGAGCACAGCCCCAGGGTACGCCCGTGTGTCCTCCTCCTCCCCAGGTCTTGTTTTCAGTTCTCCCTGGTAATTAGTTTAATAATGGCTGATTCTGATTGGCCAGAGGCTTCACACCTGACTCACAGGTAAAGGAAGGCTGGGAAATCAGCAGCGCTCGGCCCTTGAGGGCCGTGATTTGAATTGCCCTGCCCTGCTCTGCCCTAGTGAATAGGACCCATATTGTGGCAGATGTGCTCCTTACCTTCTGCTGCTGTTAACTTTGTTTCCTAACCGCCCGCCTTTGTTCCCGCCTTTGTTCCCGCCCCTGGCCCCGCCCCTGGCCCCACCCCTGGCCCCGCCCCTGGCCCCTGTGCAGATGCTAAGCTTCCTGAGGAGCTGCGCGTCGCACATGAACAGTCTTTTGCAGCCGGTCCAGCCCCAAGCCCTTCAGCCAACGGGCTGCCACTCCTGCAAGTCTCTCCTGCGCTCCCCCTCCTTCCTGAACCTCCTAAGACCCAGGTGTGGGCGGGGCCCCACTTGCATACCCTTGTTTGATTGGTCAACTGTTTTTTTTTTTTTTTTTTTTTTTTGTGTGTTGTGTGGGTGTCTTTTTTCTCGGGGCGCTCTAAATATGTTTTTTTTTTTTTTCTTTGAAAAGCATGAGCAACAAGGTTGTTGAGGACATTAAGTGCGTCAGAAAAAACAAGGTTTTTGGTGGACTTTCTAGGTGGCTGGTGTTTATATTGGCCTTTTAGAAATGGACAGTATTTATCATAAAACTATGATTTATTTATTTATTGATGCTGCAGTTCCTATTTTATTAGGGGAGACTGTAGGACGATAGGTTATTTCAAGGTGAAACGGTGCATTCATTTCAAGACAGGTGATATTTTAATGAGGCAGTCATTCTGTTTCGGAGCTGTTTCTTGTGTAGGCTTATTTTGGGGCATTCTGGGTTATTAATCTGTGTTACAGCGGTTCAGACCTCCACCCTAGCTCCAAGGCGACCGCCTCCGACGCTGTCCAGTGTTACGGCTTCGGGAAGGTATGTGAAAGGCTTGGCCGAAGCAGGGCTGAGTCTTCGCCCCTTTAACTTGTGTGGGTGGAATGAAGAAATCGGCGTTAGTAGTATAATTAGTGAAGAGTTAAGGGACATTCATCAGGACGGTCAGCAGCGGTGAATGTGGATGGATGGATTAGTGGATAGGTAGCATTGATGCACTTTTCTGGGACTGGAGGTTTGAATGTGCCCCCCCCCAGTCTCCCGAAGGTATCATGAGTTTCCTCTAGGTTACCTGTCATCCCCCCGCTGTCTAAAAGCGCACAGATCAGGTGAATTTGTGAATATTCCTGTGTGCGCTCAGAGAGTAGCGCTTCACCCAGCATTGTGTCCTGCATCATGATCCGTGTTTCCCAGAATAGACTCTTCAGAGCTCTTGAGCAGATAAGTGGTTATCGGACACGGATGGACAGGTCGGGTTACGCCGGCTGTCGGTCACTTTCCGCCCTTGGCCGTTGCAGTTGTGGTTGGACCGGCCGCGGAAGCTTCTGGGCCTGCTGGCCTGCATTCCTCTGATCTCCGACAGCGACCTTGGGCAAGCGGAGGATGAACCTTCTCTCTCATACTCCTGCGGTTCATTCATAAATATGATGAAGTAAGAGATGCTGGCCATAGCATAGCAGTGTAACAGAGACATCCTCAGACATTGTAAGACATCTTCACATTATGGATTCAGTCGTAGTGAATTCCCAGTAGAGAGCAGTTTTTTTGTATGATTATGACTTACTTGCAACATGAAAAGCTTTTAAAATACACAGTGATTTCAGGCTAAAATTGTATCTGCTTGCTGTAAAGAAAATGGTTGCTTTCTCCTCCCTAATTTGCGGCTTTCAGTTCCAGCTGGAAGGGCTGCCGCGTGACGGTGAAGGAGCTGCAGACTCGCCCGGCGTCGAAGTACGTCGGCCAAGATGGCTACCAGGACCTTCTGATCGCTGAGCAGGCGCACTGCTGGTAATGGAGAGGGGCCTCTTCCACAGACGTGCTGACAATTTTTGAACGGATTTTAAAATAAAAAAAAAAAAGTCAGTGTTTGTTCTCTTGATTTGATGTCACGGGGGTTTCAACAGCCGAAAGTCAATTAAAACTGTTTTTGTCATGACAACATGGCGGATTGTAGATACAGATCAAACGTGTTGTTAAACGTACAGAAATTGATTACGATGTGATGTTCTCCTTCAGATAAAACCTGAGAAATGTCTCCTTTTTAAATGAAATGAGCCGTCCTGTAGCAGCGAGCGGCTTTGGTTGTTGTTTTGATGGCCTGTGTGCGTATGTGTCCTTAGTGTCAATGTGCGTGACTCCTCACCCCTGTGACATTTCACGGTGTAACGTGGGGCTTCACCTCCTCAGCCGGCTGTCCCACCCGCACCTTCTGCAGCTGCTGGCCGTCAGTAAGTCTGCTGAGCTGCTTGGCGTCCGTCTGGTGTTCGAGAGGGTGCACGTGGGGTCCCTCCACAGCCTCCTGCACCACAGGGTAACCCTGCCACAAGCCCCGCCCCCAAACCCCGCCCCAAATCAGGCACACCATGCCAACCCCCCCAAAACACACCCCCAGTCCAGAATGCGCAAACCCATTTTTGGAGTTATATGTGCTACTGATTTTTTTTCTACCCCAAAAGCTTCAAATTTAGCCATCTACATTATTTTTTGTATTATTTTTACCTAAAGTTTATCCAGGTTAAGTACTTCCTCAAGTGTATAACTTTCAGTACTCTGGTGTATTTCCTAACCTGCCAGGATACCAGCCATTAATCAGCTATCTTTCTCACACACGTTCAAACACAGTACTGCTAGGTAAGTCTTAGGCCATCAGAAATAATGTTTAAAGCTGTTTATCGGGGTAGTTAGGGTATATTTGTTCAGAAAAAAAAACACAATTTAACTGGAATATATACAAATGAACAGTAACAATAAAAAATAAATGAGAATTTCTTTAATTCTCCGAAAAGTTACTGATATCTTGTTGGACGGCTAGATGAACACAGCTTCAGCTCCCAAACCTCTCCTCAGGGGCACCTCAGCCGTTCTGTCTGTTTGTTAAATCTCAGCACCAGCTCACTTAATTAACAGCTTAATTAGTGAAATAACTTAATGAGCACTGATTAGCCATTAGCATTAACATGTTGTGCTAGTGGATGATTCAGCAAATACATTGGTGTATTGGATGGTTACTGAAAAAGCTTTGGTGACTTTGGGAGAGGGTTTGAAACAGATAAGCTGACACTTTGACAGACATGATGTCATATTTTTACATTAATATTTAAACACTTTGTCATTCTAAGACTTTTGACAGTGATGTATATATACTGACTAGAATGTATATAAAATACACTGTATAGTATACAGCTGTAATCATGACTATGTGAAACAGCCACCTATTTATTGAGAAGCCACATGGATGCAGGGCTCAGCAGAGGTGGAACGTTCAGGTCCAGAAAGTACAAATCCAGACCAAGGTTTTATTCCCACCCGTCAGTTAAGTGTAAAGAGTCAAAATGACAGAGTACTCAACTGGTCGGTTGAAACAAAACCTTGGTCTGGATTTGTGCTTTCTGGACCTGAATTCTGGGGCTCAGAGATCACACACCTGTACCTCCTTACTCCGTTCCAGAGGGCCGAAGTTCCTGTGCTCCAGACGGGGGTGCTGCTCAGCATGGTGCTGCACGTTTGCGAGGCCCTGCTGTACCTGCATGGTCGGGGGCTGGTCCTGAGAGCCCTGTCTTCCCACAGCGTACAGATCGTCCACCCCACGGTGGCCAAAGTCACTGGACTTGGCTTCATGGTGCCCAGGTAGAGCCAGGGGGGGCTTTTTGCCAGTTTATGGTCCGTTTGGTGGAATTTTCTAAAACCCTCATTGGACCTATTCCTCAGGCAGCCGTGTATGTGATTTTATTTGTCTGCCTTTTAATCATATGTAGAGTATATTTGTTTTCTTGCATTTTAGTAAAATATGCAAGAATTAAACATAAAAATAGACAAAACGAGCGACCCTATTCCCTCCTCCATCTGTCCCGGGAAGCGAGGAGGGGCGTGGCTCTCATGGGGCCACACACCCGCCCCTCCCCCCCGAGCTGTACAACTGGGCCGCTCCGGAGGTCATCAGGTTGAGGGCCTGCACCGACAAGGCCGACCTGTACAGCGCCTGTGCCCTCATTCAGGAGCTCTACACAGGTGCTGTGTCTCAGCCTTAGTCTCCCCCACCGCGAGCGTGATCCTTCCCGCCATTTTGCCAGTCTGTGTTGCCTAGTTAGACGCAGGGTCCCCTTCCGTCACAGATGCGGTGCCTTGGGGTCCCGTGGACCCCTCCTGGATCCAGCAGGCGGTGGATTCCGGCGGCGCCCTGCCGGTCCACTCCGCTGTGCCTCAGCCCTATTACAGGCTGGTTAGCACCTGCCTGCAGGCCCAGGCACAGGATCGAACCAACAGCCTGCAAGACCTCCGTTACCTTCTCTGCCGTGACATCCGGGTACCGTAAGGCCGTCTAAGTCCTGCACGCTGTTACCTGATGAGAAGCAGAGCGGCGTCAGCACCGCGGTACCTGCTAGGTGTGTTTACCGGGTCTACATGCTCATCGGGCCGGTCAGGATGGATTGGAGGTGTGTGTCTCCTAGGCGCCGTCCCGGAACTCGTGGAGGGGGAGTGGCCCGTGTCCGGAGCCGGCAGGCCTGAGTTTGCCAGGCTGGGGACTGGAGTTTGCAGAGGACTGGCCTCACCCCCCCACAGGTGGGTACTGGGGCAATGAAATCGCCCGTTATCAGGGACCTGAGGACCTCTCCCCCTAGGGGTGGTAGTTATGCAGTCTGCTGTGGCGTAATGTAGCGTTTGTACCAATGTCAAGATCTATAGTTAGTGCAGATGTAAATGACTGTATACGGGACGCAACACTCTTAAATGTCATTAGATACACGTAAAGCCTGTCTGTAGGCATGCCGATAGCTGTGTAGCTTAACACAGGGAATCCTGGGAGCTTCTCCAGCCTGCCTGATGTGGTTTGGGTTCAGGTCCTGAAAGTAAAAATCCTGACCATGACTTTGCTTCAACCAGCCTGTTGAGGACTCTGTGACTGTGACTCTTAATACTCAACTGGTTGATTGAAACAAAATCTTGGTCTGGATTTTTATTTTCTGGACCTGAAATTTCCATATCTGCCCGCCCCAAAGCGAGCAATGAATCGGAGCAGGAGCTGCAGACGGGGCTGGCCGACATCTTGCTGGACAGAGAGATGCAAAACCCGCTTTGGCGGCTGGACCATCTCCTGGACAGGGAGGGGGGGGGAGTTAAGAACCAGTTGCCTAGGATGGACCTGGGGGGAGAGACAGCAGAGGGGCAGCACGTCTCCTTCCGTCACCCGGATCCGGGCGTCCTGGAGGAGGCCGGCTCAGTGGACGACTCGGCGAAGAGGGAGCAGATCTCCAGGCACATGGGGGCCATCGTGCTGAACCTCAAGGTGTCCCAGGTGCTGATGCAGCAGTCTGAGGCCAGTCTCCTGGCCGTGGAGATGCGTGAGGGAGGTGGGACTTCCGGCGGCTCGCAGGACGAGTGCGGGTTCGACGAGGTGGACGGCCCGTGCCCAGACCAGGTCGCCAGAGGTGGGGGTGTTTTTGGTAGGGCTGTGGGGCCCCCCCTCTATTATCACCCGCCACTTGGTGATGTCTTGGGAGAGGACGAGTGGGACCACAAGGCACAGTACCCTAGCTGTGGGAATGAGGAGCCCACGTGTTACTTTTCGGCGGAGGAGGACGTGTATGCTGAAGAACTTCAGGTAGGACGCTTTCCTAAGTGACAAAGACCACAGGAGGAAAAGAGTTATCTTCTGGTTCAGGGTTCCCCAGTTTTGTTCTGGAGGGCCAGTCTGTAATACAGTTTGTAGATTTCCCTCCTCAAACACACCTGCAAAACCTGCTAACTAGCTGATCAAGATGTGTTTGCTAACTGCGTTGCGGACTGGCCCTCCAGAACCGGGATCGCAGAACCCTTGTCTGATTGAAGTGAAGTATTGCCCTCATGTTCCAGGCAATCGTAAGGCCCGTGTAAATGAAAGCTGGCTAAGGCACTATGGCTGATGGCTGTCGCTTCCCTCGGTAGGTGAGCGCAAACACGGGAGGAGGTCAGAGAGGAGGAGGTGGTCCGCAGCGAGCTGGGACACGGGGACGTGAGGACAGGTAGGGCTCAGACGGGACTCTGTGATGGAAAAGGGGAAGCAGAGTCTGGGTCGTTGTAGGCGTCAGCTAGGCGGTGAGGGAGCGGCCGTGTGCATTACCAGGGGGAAGAAGGCAGAGGAATTCACACTCACTTGTGATTTGTTTAATTTTTTAACCTTTGACTGGCAAGAATTACATTTATTGATTGAGAAGAAGATGCAGGTCCTCTTGTGTGGCTGCAGTTTGTGGACAGTTCTTCTGGGCTGCGATTCGCTCCTTTGCAGGAAGTCTGCATCTCCCGGAGCGACGGATTTGAGGAGGCCCAGGGGGTCCGGCGGCCAAGCCGAGTGGAAGAGTGAGGGAGCGGTCATGCTTTTCACACTCACTTCATCACTCTCTTACCTCTCAATGCAGAATGAGTTGTCATTGCTTGGCAAATGAAGATCAAGGGTCAACATTTCAGCTTCACAAAAAAATTTAAGGGAGGTCACTTTCTAATGGGAGGGGCAGTCATAACAGCTGTCGAGTAATTACATTTGATTTAGCTGAATTGTAAGACTTCAGCTAATGCATTCAGTATAATGGGGATTAAAGTGATTAATTAATTGGAAGGTGAGGTTCGTTAATCAATGGCTCAGCCGGAAGATGTGTCTTGTGCCCAGCTGAGGTCTCGGCGGCGGTGGCCCGGATGACCCGGGGTCGCTTGGTCGGTCCCAGGAGCAGCGAGAGCAGGGGGTCAGAGGATCTCCTATGGAGTCACAACCCCCACAGACCTGGGACAGAGGACAGCTGTGACAGCAGTGACCCGGAGACCCTCCTCAAGAGCTTTGCAGGTGACAGAGAGGAGCGACTAAATGTGAATCGCTAACAGATAAAAGAGATGTAATCCAAACCCTAAACTGTGTTTGGGAACAGTCAATGCTTGGGCATGTTCCCATTGAGAATGGGCAACAAATTTCTATCTGGGCACGTTTGATCTCAGTGGACAACTTTTTGAGATCTTTCAGATGCCCTGTTTATCTGCACCTTTAGGTTTGTTTCTCTAGTTACTGTTTTTATAGACTTTATAGACTAAAGACAGCAAAGTGAGCAAAAAATATACATCTTATCATACAAATTGATTGTTTATTGTTAAATCCAGTTGAAAAATGTAAAAACATTTGATCTAGTTTTCTGTTTTATTTCTTCTTATAACTTACTGCAGTTACCTGTTTGGGGAAAATAGTTTCAATAAATCAGAGCATCATTGATATATTTTTAATATACCTACTATGTGATATCATTTGCTCTACACCAAAAATAAAACAAAAAAGATACTGCATTTCATTATTCGTTATTTTTTTTTTATCTCAGGTTTGTGAGAGTGACCCATGGGTGTGTCATGATGTTCACCCTAAGCTAACAAGGAGTTGATTGTGAGGTTTATAAGAGTGAGAGAGCACTCTCCCTTCCTATATGAGAAATGCAAAGTGACTGTTGTGCATCTCCCTTGTGTCTGAGCGTGTCAGCTCTCCTCAGGCCTCCAGAGTGAGAGTGAGGAGGAGCCAGACCTCCTCGCTGTCACCAGAATGTTCCAGGCCCCAATACTGCATGCTGCACAGGTAAAATATACCCAACTGCATATTTTATAACTAGATGGAGGGACAACAATGTATTCACGGATATCACCCTGTCCCCCAATCTAATCCCTACTCCTCCCACACCCCCCAGCCTCTGCAGTCTCTGGTCCCTTTACACACTCTCCCCACCTCTCCAAAAAATGCTTTTTTAAAAGCCTAACTTTGTGTGACTTGTCTCAGTTGAACCAGATTCAGCAGATCTGCATATACGGCTGTCCTTTCATGGGCCAGCACTGTGTGGCGCTGCTTCAATTTTGATGTAACCTGGGTCTCGAATTTTGACCAGTTCCAGGGCTTCACCTATACAATGTGTGTGCAAAGATTTAAAAGAGTTCCATCAAATACTTTTTGAGTTACTGTGCTAACTTGAAAGTGTCTGCCAACTGGTCCCTAAACCATATGTATTCCTTGTCCAAGGAATACAATAATGCTGTAACCAGCAATGCCTATGACACCTCCGGAGAACAGAAGACTATCTGAGTCAGATTCATAGCTATTCTTCTCACTCTATATGTTACTCACCTCCTCAGGCAATGTAGCGAAGAGTGGTATCAGTTTTTATTCTCTTTATTTAACCCAAGACTGTGTAAGTATCCAGCCAATAGCACGAGAGGGAGATGTGAGCCATACCGACCACCTAAAGGAATACCAACTCATTCACGTTGTCTGGGCCTCCTGGCCACAGATGACTAATGCAGATCAAAGCTGGTGCCTATTTGTATTTCCGTGGCCTGGGTTTAAACCCTTTGGCCACTGACTGTATGTGTACGTTGTGTACAGCTCTGAATGTCCAGGTAATTAAGGCAGGGGATCATGTGACCCTCTGTGTGCACAGGAGGAGTCTTCATCCGAGTCAGAGAGCATTGGATCCCCAGTAGAGTCCTTCAGTGTGTTCCTCACCCCAAACCCAAGGCACTCGCAGGTTTGACTTCAAACATGAGGATGCTGGCTGACTTAGACAGATTTGTGAACCGTACCTTTGTTTTGTTCTGTCCGGATCATTGGGTCAGGAATGCTGTAGAGACTGTTAGACTTAAGACTGCCATGTCGAAAAAGCTGACGGAGAGATAATAACAGAAAAACTGCTTCCTGTTTCAGTCGCCCAGCTTGGAGCAGGACCTGGAGGTCACAGTGGGGGTTTGTCAGCCTGGAGCGGGAGGAGCGGCGCAGGAGGCCAGGCTCAGAGGTAAAGGAGCGCGGAGGTCCTTTGCTGTGCAGTTAAGACGGACCTGTTGCATTAAGCGTGCAATGCTCTGGGTTACAGCACCTCACAGTGGTATGATGTTTTTCTCCAGGACGAAGATTTGCAGTGGAGGAGTCAGCAGAAGCGAGGCCTTACCCAGCCAGCCCTAGTTCTTTTCCAGCTGCCGGGTAAGGCCCACTTGTATATGCGGTAGGAGAAAGCTCCCCGAGTACCTGACGCCGTGTCCTTTCTGCATACAGCGACTGTCTCTCAGACTTGGCTGAGCTGTCCAGCATCACATGCTCACCTGGGCAGCAGCAGGAGCAGGCAGCACAGGCCCTGGGGTCCCCTGCCGTCAGCCGACGCCCCTCGCTGTGCTACAGCACCCCCCGCAGCCCAGGTGGGCCTCGCGCATGCGAGCCCAAGGACAGTTACTGTGTCATGGCTCTCTGGAGAGACACTGTTCGCTCACGCCGATTAGAACTTGGATGAATCTACTGAAAACGGGTCATGGCTACATGGGAATAATAGAGGAACGTTCCCTGGCATGTTTAATCGAGAGTATCATAATTTGAGTCCATATGTAACATTACGTGAGATCGTTCCTGTGCACAATCGCCTGTATGCTAATGTCGCTAACTGGGGCTTGTTTCTGGGACAGTGCAAAGCCCTAGATCCAGGGAGGCAGGCAGCCGTGTTGAGCCACCTCCACACCTGGAGAGGCCACTTAACGCCACCTGCTGCACCGGCTCCCCCACCATGGACACCTTCGCTACTGCCAGCACTTCCACAGTGGCTGTACTTTCCTGCATGATTTGCAATCGCTTATATATTCATTTATTATGAAAATGGAGATTTAAAGCATTAAAGACATGTTTAAGCTACAATAATGAACACAACCTTTTACGGTTCAGAATGAAAATACCTTATTAGCCCCCAGTATTCAGGCGCACACATTACAGGGTGGATACTGCAAACACTCACTCATATAGATGCGACTCCTTTTTCGCTACAGGGTGATATTCCCAGCATGCAGCAGTCCCCCCCACAGATTGACACCAGCTCATCCCATGTGGGTGAGAGTGGGACCACATGGGTGTCAGGAAGCCAAGATAAGCATGAGCCTGGGACAGACCCTGAGCATGATGACCAAGTGAAGGCGGGCGATCCGGAAAGGTCTCCCTCCAGTGATTCCCCCTCGCCCAGCTTGAGCTCCACCCCCGAGAATGTGCTGTACACTTCGGTGGAACTTGCTGAAGGTGCGACATGTCATAGGTATCTCTTAGCAGAAAATTCACCCTTTTCTGGCATGTTGGTGACAAAATTAATCAGGATCCCCAACCCTGCCTGGCGAAATTAATATTTAAAAATGGAAGAATAGCACTGCTTTTGAAAATACCTTCAAAATACAGCATACCATGGCAAAAAATACAATAATTAGCTAAATATGGCGGAGACAGCAGATTTGTTTCTATGCCACTTTGTCACTTTAAACACAGACTTTAGACTGTGTACAATTTTTATACAATTTAGAACCATAATGTTTTGCATTTGCATTTTTCTTTAAATCCTGTTTTGGCCCAACTAATCGATTAGTTGAGCGCGTGATCACGATTAATCGATTTTTTACAGCCAAAAATGTCATTTATCCCATTTAAATGTTAAATACATTTGTCTCTGTATAGTGAGTGTGTGTAGGGCCCCATCCATATTTGTGCAGACCCAGAAGGTTTCGAAATCACTCTGGGATATGCAGCGAATAGAGCTCCAAGTCGATCACTAAGAAGTGGGAATTAGACAGCACCATCGAGAAGCTGCAGCCCTTCAGCCCGATAATGGACTGAAATGCGTGGCCCAAGAGACACTGGAGTGGCTTAAATACAAAAAAAACTAACCACCATCAAGTGGACTGGAAAAAGCCCACACTTCAGTTCAGTGTATTTTACAAATTACCGAATGTAACAAAATCCAAGTGTTCATTAAGTATTAAAAAGTATAGCTGCTCTGTATGGGGGTTAACATAAGGTTGTCTGATCCAGTTGGTCCTCATGCAGATATGTACTGGACTTCATTCGGCATGCCACCTTACCATGATTTAATTGCTACTTCAGTCAGGCAACTAATTTCTGATAATGTCTGCCCTTTATCTTTGTGCATTCTGGTGAAGATTGGCGGAAATGTCAGCGTAAAGTGGTTTTCTATATCAAAACTGGTATTAATTCGTACCTCTTCAAAGTGTTGAAAAATTGTAACACAAAAGGTAAAAGCCCTATTAAATCAATACTAAAATTTATGTAAGTCAAAATGCTGTAAGTTGGGGGAGCGTACATCCTACTGACCCTTCAGATTTACATTTGATTAGAAGGAAGTTACAAAGTGAATATAGCTTAATTGTAGCATTTTGGCATATGTAGCATATGTCGCTAGAAATCAGGCTGAACAGCATCGAGACCTGTTAGAATCTTATATACGTGGATCATGTCACCCCCTTCATCTATTTTGCGCGAGGCTAAACAGATTCAGCTCAGCTAACCTCTCCTCATAAGACATTCCTCTAAGACCAGGA